AACGAAAGATGAGACCATTTCTTGTGCGCCAACCTAACTCCATAACACTGCACACAACCTATGTCCCATAAGCGAATGTGTAAAAACTGAGAGAGAAATGCTGCAACACCGCCTCAGGAAACGACTGTCGGTGACCTCGTCGCGTCAAAAAGTACAATTATGTAACAAGAGCGACTTGTATCTAGCTGAGAAAAACGATGAGGTTATTTTTGAGCTATGCGATTTCAAAAATACAGACCAGAACAACGCATATATTCCCAGAAAGCCTAACATCGTCATTGAACAAGCACTCCATACCATAAGCTCTGCGATTACTAAGAAGAAACATTACTCACAGCAGTAATCGCCTCCGGAGGGTTTTCGCCGCTCACTTCAACAGGAATGCTTTCGTAATTGTCAAAATTGATGCCACTATTCATATTATTGAAAAGTTGCCTAAAATCCATTACGATAATAATGCTTACCAATGAAAATGAAAAACTTGAGATTCCCCGAATTCATCCTCCCAGCACAAATGAACTCACTTTTCAACAGAATCAGTGCCGGCCGTCTGACTATTCCAGTTTCCCACGAAATCACCGCTAAACGGCACATATATTGATATTGCCACATACACTATATCATCAAAAACAATCAGAAACGGACCAGTTCTTGTCCTTTGGATCGAACGTGCCACCGAAACCCTTCGTCACATAGCCTGCCGTGACACCGTTGCTATAATCCGAAGTCATGCCATTCAATCCACATGGTGGATGCGTGTAGCCATTTTGAGAATACATATTCTGTTGTTGCGGCTGATAGCCATTCTGGTAGCTGAAAATGGTGTCACTACAAAAACTAGCTCCCATAACCCCCTAGTATTGAATAATAACCTTCTGAACATATGCAGAGTACGGGTTTAATTTTTCAAAGCGCAAAAGTGAAAACTAAACAGCTAGACAGCTTCGTGTCCTGCGTTGTGAATCTTTTTCTTAGAAAGTGCTAGTCAGTAGGATGATAACTAAGGTAGTAGTGTAATGGGATGATAATGATAGTGGTTATCGGTGAAGACGATCCAAGATATCGAAACGCGCTGCTACAGCCACCAGATCTTAGCACCAGCAAAGATAACTACTTCGTAGATTTCAGGAACATATAGGAATTCTAAGAATGTAGAAAAAAGAAAACAAATAATTATAGAATAGCTGCAGTATGGACGTAACTTCGAAATCCCTATCAGAAGCAGAATACACCAACCAACCGTTGTACTATGGTAAAGAACTCAAAAAAAAAAACAAACCTGGAATCGTGAGCGCCTTGTTTTAATTGGTTAACTTCCAGTTGAAACGACCATATAGTGCAGCTGCCTTCGGGATATTACATATTGGTCACCAGCAAAATGCATAACTGAGAGACCAAATCCCATCGTTTTCTGCTCTTAACACCGTCCGCTCAAAGCCGAGCGAGGCGCTAGGGTGTGTGGGAACTGCTCCGTTCGGTAGCAATTTATGCAACTGTAAGCTCGATACTACTTCTCCATGCAGAAGAGGAATTTTCCAACAGACCTTTCTAACCTATACACCCTGCGCTCCACAAGCAGTAATACCCATTTCGTTGCTAGATTAGGTGACTGTTTCTTACTAGTGAATTATGTGGAACGTGTTTCGCTCAAACACACAGCAATGATGTTCTCCTTCCGCAGCGGAGGACCGAGCCACACCTAAGTGGCCCATGGGGTGCCAGCGAAAATTTCCGCGTGCGAAAAGCGAACAAGTTGCTTTCTAACCTACTGAACCACACCATAATAGACAGTCAAATCTCTTCGACGATGCAATCAAAGTTTGACAGGTTCCTACTTCGATTGAGAAAAATAACATAACCCGTTAGTAAAGTTGCGACAATGACATGCCCGACGAAAATCTCGAAATTCCAAATTGCAGCCGAAAATTTTCCTCTGTGGAGATGGGTCCCATAATAGGGCACTTCACTGCTCGAAATAACGCGGCTGTGTCCTACAGACGCACCAAGAAATGCCTAGTCGCCACGTTAAAGTAGTCTCAACAAAGTTGTTCAGCTCTTACCTAGGAGGTGGACCACTGTTCGAGGTGAAAGTCATTGTTTGACCATATCCTGGTGGTGGGATCGTGTAACCGTTAACGGCCTGACTACCGTACTCGTATCCATTCGTAGCGGTCGCGCCTCCGCCACTATTTCCGAAGCCAGTGTAACCTCCACGGACTCCCACCGGAGGCACATCGGCCCATTGTCTGAAAAAAGGTTGAAAATGAATCTGCTGAATCGCCTCATAACTGAAAGGGTGAATCGAAAGCGAACCTCAACCAACCTTATCATTGTTGTCAGGGTGCATAAAAAATCGATAACGATGTCGAGATGGCGACAAGAACAAGGAACTCACCCTGAGGTCTGTGAACTGTAGAAAGCCTGCTGGGCTGTGGTCGAGTTCATCACGCAACACTCTTCGTTCGATTATTCGAAGAACTTCTTCCGTCACCAGCCACAAAGACGACGACCAACAAGCACCAGCGCGCGACGCGAATAAAAATAGAGGAGCGGAAAACCGCGCCGCGTCTGCAATACACGAAACGACACGCCAACTTACACACCTGTCTCCGTGTCTGTCCTCTCCTCACACTGCATGATCTCTCCATCATGTTTATTGCTTACCGGTTCCAGAGTTTAACACTTCGTTTTTTGCAGCGGTTATCATTTCATCAGGAACGTTTCATTTACCCGTAGACCCAGCAGAACCACATGCAGTAGACTTGAAGGCGCAATGTGGCTCTGGAGGGGGGGGGGCAGCCCATAACATTGTGTCAAATTCACGGAAACGCTCAGGTTTGGGATTGAGCCTTAGAGGAATAGAGGGAATTCGAGTTGCGAAAGCATTTCTTATTCTCTCCGAAATTCACATCTTTTCATTTTGGCCTAATGGCCTTTTTACAGCCTACCCCCCCCCCCCCCCACCCCCATAGGCTTATTGCGCCGACTTGAGCGTCAAGGATGTGGCTCACTAGGACAGAAAGCGACTTTTTCGGGTTTCGTAGCGAGAACATTCTTCAGTGCGGGAAAGGAACGCGAGAAAGTCGCTTCTGTCCTACTGAACCACACCCGAGCTTCAGAACCTAACCGGAACAATGACACAGAATTTCGAATTGCCACCGAGTGCCTGTTCTGTGAGATCAGACAGACTTCCGGGTTTGTGGCTACGAGAGACACAGCAGAATGGTTGTGTTGACGCTCATGGCCTTGGGGTTGGAGGATGGATATTTGGAACAGGGCATTCAAAACCGCTGGGGGTGCCATTAGGGCTGAGCCTAGGAGAGGGGAGAAACGCCACAGAGAACAATCTCTGCCTACGGCAGGTTTCTTTAGCCCTTCTCACTCTCTTTCGAACAACGAAATTGGCCGAAGCGATCATGTCGAGCCTGATTCAATCCTCTGGGGGGACAAAAAAGGGTTGCGTCATAGGACCTAGCATACCTCTGTGTTTCTACCTGCCAGACAGTTAGAGCAGCGCTACTACCCTCCACTGATGAAGCACTCTTTTCCCTGAGGGGTCGCGCTGCTCTGTCTGGCAGGTAGAAACACAGAGGTATGCTAGGTCCTATGACGCAACCCTTTTTTGTCCCCCCAGAGGATTGAATCAGAGCGCGTAAGGTATAGATGCGTCGCGCGAGATAGGTGGGCGGAGATCGCGCGGGAATTTCTGATATCGTCACCACTTGGATGCTCCGATAAAGGCCCTATACATTTAATAATGTGTGTTGCTTTAAGTAAACATGCATTGATAGCAGAAAGTGTTGTTCAAACGGGAACGAAAAAATTCTAAAAAGAGACATTTCGTCCCATGCAAACCATTCGGAACATACCTTCGGCCACAGAGTAGGAGATTATATCCAGCTGGGAAAGGATACCGCCCTGTATTAAACGAACGAGCGCAAACGAGAGAGCGCAGGCGAGAGTATCAAAGCGAGGCGGGGTAAACACTGAGTTCAAGTTGTCCGTAGACTGTTCAGCACATCTGATTGCGCAACATTCATTCAAAAACAAGGATTACTATGAGCACATGAACAGGCTACTAGTAGCTCTTTCTGATGCTACTCATTGGTGGATGTGCTCAGCCTTCAACACACTCAACAATGAAACTCGTAGACGGCGCAATGTGGCACGGGGGGGGGGCAGTCGCCGCGCGGCGCGTGCGGCAACAGGAAATTCGTGAGCCAGGGGGAATGTAGCCAATTCAGGGGGGAGGGGGTGAGGGCAGTCACTCGCGTGAGAAGCTGGAATGTTCGATTTTACACTACTTCGCTAAGCCGCGACGGCATCTGGCCCCCCCCCCCCCCCTCCCCCCGAGCCACATTGTGTAGTCATAGGCTGGTGTCAGAGTCCGCGATCCGTCGCAGGTTTCGCTGATTTTCGCGATTGCGATTTGCGCGAAACCTGCGACGGATCGCAAAAATTGCAAGTGTGTGAACATTTGAAACACTGAATATGAAACAAGTGGAATCATGAGCAGTCGTCATTCAGCCATCACTATCAAGCAGAAGTGGCGGCAGGATTGGAGAACACCTTGCAGTATTGATCGGGCACTTGTGATTTCCGTGACCCGTCGCGTGAATCGCGCAAATCGCGAAAATCAGCGAAACCTGCGACGGATCGCGGACTCTGACACCAGCCTAGACAACGATAATTTTATGTGGATAAACTCGAGAGATTAAGTGAAAAACGATGTAGCGATAAAGAAGAAACGACCCATATCGTTAGAAATGGGACCATCTTTCTGTCCGCTGATTCGGAGGCGGGCGAGTTGCGGCTAGGGTGGAGGCCAATTTGACAAAACTAACATGTTATTTTGAAAAACAGGTCGTAAAACGTCTTCACAGGTTCAAACGTTTCCACCACCTGTAGTGAGTACGAAATTTCGAAGTATCCTCTATTTCGGAAGACGAGAAGAGCGTCGAGTGCAGACCACACACCACAAGTGACGACGGCCGAGAAAAAACTTTCTTTTTTCTTGGCCGTCGTCACTTGTGGTGTGTGGTCTGCACTCGACGCTCTTCTCGTTTTCCGAAATAGAGCGTATAGCCGTTCAATGGGAAATTTCCAAGGAGGGGTACTATTTGAAATTTCCAAATGGAAGGTCGTATTTTGGGTTCTATAGATGGTCGTGGTGGGTAAGTTGAAGCGGTTTAGTATGCGGAAGGGTGGTTCAAGAATTGGAGTTCACAAATCTTACCGAAAGTGTTGTAATGAACAATTCGCCTCCCCGGTAACTGAAGTGGTCAAGTGAAGTCAGACTTAACGACAGAGGACATCGTAATCACTGAAAAGGAAGAAGGACTGGTTTTCATGGGATATCACTTTGAGAGGGTTCGCCCCACTTTAAGTGTTTTTTCCCACTTGACAGTTGACCCTCTCCGTGAAAATTAGAGCAGGAAAATCCCTGCCTATCCACGGCTTCCAATCATGCCTTGATTTTTAGAACTCGGAACAACTTTGAAGAGGACTTCCGAAAATCGGGAGCTAGTGCACTAAGGGGAAAGTGATCGAAAGGAAGGAGGCTCCAGGGTGTGTAGAGCATTCGATTGTGCAGGAAGGGGCTGGCCACACATGTACTAAGATGGAAATTTTGTTCTGGAAGTCTTGGGTGCTATTCGCCGTAAGGCCGATGTCAGACTTTGCGAATCGAGCGATTCGCTAGCGTCCGCGGTCGCGTTGCGGTACCAGCCAATTGAGCGATTCACTGGCCGCGACGCGACCGCAGACGCTAGCGAATCGCGCGATTCGCAAAGTCTGACATCGGCCTAATGCCTCCTACCTATTGCTTTAGCG